CAAGTGCATGGTTCAAGATGTGGCTAAACGTGAAACGTGCCACCGGAGAAATGACTCTGGCTTCTTGCTTCTATCCCAACGCCATGTTGTTGTTATTCTCAGACTTATTCCTATGTAGTCCGGCCCGAGGTTTTCCAATCAGGTCAGCTGACTTGTGAGAGCTCACCATGTCTTTCAACGCCCCCAGCAGGCCAGGCAAAGATTTCACGCCAGCTGGCTTCCCAAACGGCCCTGTGAGTGGGTGCAGAGTCACAGCAGCTGTAGCTGCCACAGTACGGGTCAATTACTCTCTAAATTGATATTTTGTGCACACAACATAAGCACATACACAGGAGTATGCCTCTTGTTTACCTTTGACAATGTTTACAGTTTCATACTCGATCAAAGCCGAGGTCTCTGTGGGAGCTTTGGGATCAAAGTCTGAAGAATTGTTAGCGCCTGACTTGTGAGGCCGTTGGAGTGTTTGGCTAACCTGGAGTTCCCCTCTGCTGCCATTTTGGCTGCTGAATCACTGATGGCTGCAAGTGGAAGAGGAAGGCTACAGAAACTCCTTATAGTGCTTTATCACATGTCACATTATTGCATTATTGCCACAAACTTAGAAGTTCTTTGGTTACATTTTACTGGATAGACTCAAGATAAACCACGTCACTGTCATTTAGCTAGAAATGTAAATTTTGTTCTGGGTTAAGCTTCTACTAACAGTGGATTCACTCCTCCCATTCCGCTACGGGGTGCTACATTTTAAGTCACAAAAGTTTAAAGTGAGTTGATGTGGACCGGAAGTTGTTTTATGTGTCTTCAGAAAAATAAATAACCATAAGACTACTTACTTAGGTTTTTGAATGCTGACCAAGTGGTGAGTTGATGTTGAATGTTGTAATCTGTTGAGACTGTGGGCTTTGGTAAATTAGCTTTGCCAAAGCTAATTTGGCAAAGCTAATTCATGATTTCAGGGGTTATTTTGTATGTTTGCATCTAATGACAATATTTTTCCATTAAAAAAAAAAAATTAAAAAATGATGTGAATGATCTAGTTCCACACAGAAAGAAGAATTATTTATATTTAAGCAAACTTCAGTTTAGTACAACACAGATTTATAACATTATCAGCATCAAACTGAAGGCAATTTCTCATTTGTGTGTATGCAATTTTTGACAAAACATCAGAGATCAAAACAATATGACAAAAAAATTGTAATTGTGCGTTGTTTCTATCTTGACTCCCAGAGTTAGCCGTGGCTGTAAGCTGTTTACTACGAGCTGCTGGGGACTGGCTCTGCCTCACCCCGCAGTGGTCCCCTTCTGGGGTCTCTGAGCACCTGCCTCTCAGACTGCCAGGATCTATCTCATCGTGCTCTCAATCTCTGGCCGCATGATGGTAGGTCAGCTGGTAAGAACGATGATCGATCTGCCATCGTCATTCTGAAACAGCGTCTGTGCCGCAGACTGCTCCCCTGGTGTCCAGCTCAAAGCAGAACCACCGTAAGCTGCGTGTTCATTCGTATACAGAACAGAAAGCAGTCAGCTAAAACAAATTGCTGAGTGGATACACCGATCGCTCCAATATCCAAACTTTGCATCAATTTCGCATCTGACTGTATTTGCCGCTGCTCCGTCCCTCTTCTCTTTCACGGTGTTAAGAATTAAAAAGTGAAGTAACTTGATTTAGCTCGTTAATTAATTCTTTGTTCCGAATTCTTGTCTCTGTGTAAGTGTGCAGAGAGAAAAGAGCAATCATACAACGTCAGACTTCAGATATTTAGAGTTTTATCCAAAGAATTCAATGCAATATATAATGTTACAACAAGCATCTCACCTAGATTATCAAAAAGTCCAAGACATGACAAAACAGAGACAAAGAACTGAGTAAAAAAGACAAAAGAATAACAGAAGATGTGTCCTCTGGGAAACTGTCACTCAGCACAGAGAGATTCGAACTTCTGCTGTGAAACAAATCATTTCATAGAATGCGTATTCTCCTCATTTAAATATATGCATTAGGAGGTGTGTTCTTTTTCTTTGTGTGGGCTGTCTTAATGTTAATTTTATTACCTCTGAGACCCAAACCTCCAGCTCTTCTCGTACCAGGCTCCGACCTGATTTACAGCGTGGAACTGGAACGTTATCTCTGCCTCAAGATGCTTCCACAAGAAAGTAGTTGGTGTTTTTTTTAACCACGCTTGCACAAAATGTAATGCTAAATAATGACTATAAGTTTGGATCTAAAAAGTAACTAATTCGAAACATGCTTAAAGAAATATAGTTAATTCTAATATAGAAAAGATTATTTATAAAAAGTTTTAAGATCCTAGTGAACTTTTGAACCATGCTCAGGAATTTGTTAATTGCCTGGCAGACAGACTCCCTATCTAAAAAGATTTAAGGATTCTAGGTCTGTGTTTTCTGTCTAATCCTCCTCCAAGAATCCATCTGCGTTCAGAGTGAGCCGTTGTTCTAGTATTATCTAAATTTATATGAACATAGAGTGTACTTTAACTTTCTATGTTATATTTCATATGTATCAAAAACTATCCTGTGCAGTATTGTGCTAACTTAAAATTCTATTTCAACAATGGTTTCTTGCGCAACTTTACTTTGCTTCTTAGCAACAAGATCCAGCCCATCGTCATTTATTCAAGATTTGAGATTTCCAATAACAAAGGAATATAATGTTGCATTTCCCAGTTTTTGACATTTCTCTGACATTCGGAAAAATATGAATTACGTACAAAACCGCATAACTCCGGATTTATTTGGCCTGTTAACACAGTTTAAAACTGGTGTGTAGTTTAAAATGTGCACTTTAAGAACAAGTGTTGGCTGCTATGCCGTCACAAATTAGACATGTTAAAAAGATGCATATAAGTGTATGGATACACTGTTAATTTTTTGTGTTATGTATAAATGCTACTATGTGATAAAAATGATCTGGAAATAAATTCACCCAATATAGATATAAAACATGCAAAGTACTTGCAGACGCAATACAGCAGCTACTCAGTCAAGATGACAATTGAAAAACCTGCAGCCAGTAAAACAATATTCAACAGTAAGATTCTCTGTACCCTGAATTATACATGAGTCAAAGAAATCTCACTTCACTGTCTATATCAAATAATGCCAAGTGAAAAAGAAACATTCATTCACAAACATTCATTAGTTACTAAATTCAAACTTCCTGTGAGCACGGCTGGCTGAGTAATGCTGGTTCTGATTGGACCGAGCTGAGTAATCCTGCCTCCTGCATGGAGGAGGCAGAAGAGACGGATTTTTTTCAGAGATTATCCATCTTAGTTTGAACACATATGTAAAATGTTGCTAGTTGGAGTTACATGCTGCAGCTTTAAGCAGCGTTCAGTGTGAGAGTTCACTGTCTGGTGGAGGCTGAGCGGGTTCAGTCACTCAAATGTTACTAGCAGCAGCGAGGCGCGGCGGTCCAACAGCAGAACCAGCATCCTACCCAGGTGGCCAGCTCGTTCCTTAAATTATTTATGGGATTATTATCTTCGCTTTCTGACCGTCATGGTCTTCCGGTGAGTGTTGGTAGTTGTCCTTTTCTCCTGCATTGAGCCTCGATGGAGCCAAACTCCGTCAAGTGTTGTGTCAATGCCCATTTCATTGTATGTTCTGGTTGGGGGTTGTTGCCCATAGTGCCCAGTAGGGGCACTGTAGTTCAGTTCATGTCGAGTCGGTGCGAGTCTCCTGTCAGTCAGCACTTTAGGCCCAAATACCCATGGACAGGAGGAAGAGGAGGAGGATCTTCATTTTGTTTCTGAACTGGCGCTTATTTTTAGTAGCGGCTGGACAGGACGACAGCCTTTACCGCTGTGGACTTTGCAGCCCTCGGACGGCGGAGCGAGGTGCACTTTTGGAGCTTTGTTTTTTTGTTTATGTGATGTATTCATGTTTTATGTGATGCAATCATGTTTTGTGTTTTTTCTTTAGTTTTCACGGTGACTCAAAACTGGTTATGAAATTGTCACAGGACAATTTCATAACCAGTTTACTACTTTGTGCGAAAGGCTCCTTCAATAGCCTTCTTGGTTGGAGTATCATTGGGTCTGGTAATCCCCACTTAGACAGAGAGGGAAATCAGAGTTACGTGCACCGTATCAATGTCAAACAAATGCCCACACCCTCAGCTGCTGATGTGCTTAAAGTCTTAGAGTGAGACTTCAATGAGAAAAACTATGAGGATAATAAGTATGTATCCCAAGATGATATTTGCTTTTTACAACTCTTCAGTGACACAATAAACACTATCAGATGCCCCTTCCCTTCAAAGATAGTAAGCTACTTGCTCTTCCCAACAATCAGAGGCTAGCCACAGTTGGACTGCAACACCTAAAGAAAAGACTAAAGACTGATTAACAGTATCGCGAGCATTACAATGCCTTTATGAAAGATACTATCAGCAACAGTGTCGCAGAACTAGCCCCCTGCTGTGACCGATGACAAGACCGTTTGGTACACCCCACACCACGGGGTGTACCACCTCAAAAAGCCAACAAAGTTGAGAGTCGTCTTTGACTGTTCTGCTAAGTTTCGTGGCGTCTCACTGAACGATACTCTTCTGACAGGTCCTGATGTGATTATGATTCTGGTTGTTGTCCTGCTGGAAGAACGAACCGTCACAAAGCCTGATGCCTCGTTTGATTGAGCAGTACAACACCAGTAGTTTGAAAACCATTGATCTTCTAGCTTCCATTCCACAACACTTTGTCTTGGTTTGACACATACAATCCCAATAAAACCTACAGAGTCAAAAGGTGAAAAAGTTTGAGGGATATAAATACAAGGTTTTAAAGTGTTTTTTTGTGTGTGTGCTTCTGTTCTCCTCAAAGACTGGTGATTCTGATTGCAATATGCTGTCTTGCAGAACTTGAAGATAAGATCAGAAAAAGTATTTCTTCCTGGTTGCCATTGTTTCTGATAAGGCAATTAATTGGACAGTAACCATCTAATTGTTCTCCCTTTCCTGTCCCTGTGTGGTCCAGGCTGCAGAGGAATGCTGTGTGGCTTTGGGGCGGTGTGCGAGAGGAACCCCACCGACCCATCCAAGGGCGAGTGTGTTTGCAAGAAACTCGACTGTCCATCGTTGGTGGCTCCTGTTTGCGGTTCCGACACCTCCACCTACTCCAACGAGTGTGAGCTAGAGAAGGCTCAGTGCAATACACAGCGCCGGATCAAGGTGCAGCGAAAGGGGCCCTGTTGTAAGTACAGTTTAACCTGCAGCCACAAAACATCATGTCTGTGGAAGCTCATCATGTGAGAGTGAAAGCTTGCTTCTTAGTAAAAAAATACAGTCTGCAAAATGTATTTTCACACCAATAGAATAGAGATATCTACTCTATTCTAGAGTAGAGTAGATATCTGCCCTTTTAGTGCAAACTAACACATTTTTGGACATCTTCTGGCATGAGTGAGATTTTATGGTTTGGATGTTAGGAGATTATAAGTTAGACATTGTGTGATTAGCATGGGGGTAAAAGCTAGTTCAACATTTACACATAAATGCAAAATCAAAAGTTTACTCAGAAAAACAATATATTTAAATTCCAGCCTGGTAAATATAGTTTATTCATATTGTGTCAATAACAAGGCAACTCAGAGGAACTTTGCAAGGCAAATTTAGAACCACATTATTTCCAGAACTGTTCAAAACAAATCAGTTCAATCAGCACACACCGTTTCAGTCCTAAATCAAATTCAGTTCAACGTTCCTTCGAACTTGTAAGAAGTTATTATTATTATTATTATTATTATTATTACTGATCTGTATTTTGCTACTTCTAAATACAGATCAGTCACTCTGTGACTATTTCTTTAGGAAATAGTCACAGATTGAGAATGCAAAGTTAAAAGTTCTAGTCACTTTAAAAGGGATTATTATTACTGTTACTACATTAGTATGCAAATTTCACATTTTGCAGCATTTTGCACTTTCATTTGGGTTTGCTGCTTCTGAAAACAGCATGGAGCTTAAAAAACATCAAGCTGTTTTTAGCAGGGTTTCCTCCAGTGTATTGTAGGCCTGGCGGCCCGCCATGCTTTCCTAGCCCCACCGCTAGGCTAAGCCTTTCTTGTTTATGTGTTGAGGAAAATAATAAAAAGTTTTTAAAAATTCCGTCTTTTTTTTTTAATTATTTTTAAAGCTGGATTGCAAGCATCTCTGTTGCTCTGAGGGTTTCACTGGCAGAACAGATTTATTCCTAAAATATATGTTCATAGAAGATAGGTTTATAGTTTATGCATTTAAGCCAGACCGATCACACAGCTGTAGTCTCTGCACAACGCCTCGTGCGCGGCAGCAGCTGAATGTCTTAAGTTTCCCTCAGTGCGGATCCTGCACGGCTCCTTTCACTCAACCTGGACACAGGCTGACCTGTATGGATACTTGCATCAATACCCTGTGAGGAATTATGTTTCTTTCCAGAGTTTTTGATCAAGGTAGGAGTTTAAACCCCACCGCGTTACCTGTGGTTGCATAGCTGAACTGCAGGAGTAACTTGTAACTTTCAGAGGTGCGTTGAGCAAGAGGTGAGAATGATTTACATTTGTTGACAGACAATTTGTGCAGCTTTTCCATCTCAACACGCTGCCTAGCACCCGGCTCTGTCAGCACTGATAAAGTTCATGTGTGTTCCTGGTTGGCCGATGAGTTCGTGGTTAACGAATCAGCGCTAACTTCATCATGCAGGTTCTGTCTGATGAGGAGATTTCGCTCTCGCCTTGTAGTCACGCATCATGCTGGTTTTATGTTTTCTTATTGTTATTTTAGCATTATGTTTCCAGTTGCACGATGCATCAAACCATATCAAAAGCGTTGTCCACTTAGACAGAGTTAATGTGCGCGGAGATCTGTGGGACTCATCCCTTAGACTGGACCAACCAAAATAGTTTCTGTGTCCCCTTGTTAAAAACTCAACAGACACAAAGTGGAAGAGCCACTAGAGCCACATTAGCAGCATTAAATTAATTAATTTGTTGCACACCTGCACAGTGCAGAGGATTTAACTCATCATGCAGGGCTGGTCCAAGGATGTATGAGGCCTGGAGCAGAATTTGACTTACGGGCCCCTCTTGCTGCTAAAACATCAGCATGAGCTTCTGTGTTGGATTTAGTGAAATAAACTATAATTACAGTTTACTAATTTGTATTTGTGAACAAACAGAGCTCAAACTCAAAGATTAAACTCATAGCATCAGATTGTAGCTATGGTAACAAAACAATCTAACTTTGAACTTTTACAAAGTAAACTTGCCAGCTCCTTAAAATCTGACATATAAATGTTAAACACTTGAAAATATTTTAATTTATTTATGCTGAAACCATTAAATCAAATTCAGCAGCATTGATGATCTCAATAAACAGCTGTTACCTTTATATATATGTGGTCTTTGTTAAAATATTAGCATTTATGGGCTCCTGAAGGCCTGGGGCCTTATGAAGCCGTTGATTTAATTTGAATTAAACTCTGAAGTTATTTGAGCTTCATTTTAATTATCATTTTAACTGTGTTTTTTTTGTTGTATTTAATACTAGTTTAGAGTTGAGAAAGCATTTCACTTGGTGATGTCTTCCCGTAACACATAATTACCCCGTAATATTTTTACAGTTCCTCTCTATTTAGCATCTTTTAATACACAAACACAGTGGACCGCCCTGGCGCCCTGACCGCCAGGTTTAGCAAGTTTTCTGAACGCTGTTTTTAGTAAGAAGTTCATATTTTTTGTTCTTTGGAAAATGATTTGTTTCAAAACCTTCTCAATGTGACACTACAAATCAGCAGGCACTGCCTGTTACCTAGCAACTCCAGCAGCGCTCAAGCATGTTTGGTTAGCCGGTTCCACTGTATGTGCTTCACAGTGGCTGTTGGAAAAGACTAATGTTTTTTGTTAACCTACCATTCAAAAACCACTTGCTGCATTCTTGTTCACTGTGAAGAAGGCTTCACTTCTGCTTTTCAAAGATGTGTGGTTGTAAAATTAAGTATCTGTTTACAGCTATTTTTCATGTGTGAGTGTAAATGTTGGTTTGGGATGACAGGGCGTGGTCAGCGGCAGCTTGTTTGGATTTAATGTGACAAAAAAAAGCTCATTCTGAAAAGAGATGAAAAAAGGCAGAACTGAGTAAACTATAATCTCATTAACTAAGAATGATTTTGTGTAAAAAATATAATGAACAAATTTTATTTTGCTCATAGATCTATTCTAACCAGTTCAAGGAACTTTTAATCACTTTTAAAGAAGTACACATCCAAACACAAAATCACTGCACCAGATATAATTTATACAGAAAGAAAAATGGAGGGGAAATCCATGGCAGGGGCTTCAATAATTGTAAATAATGCACAAATAGAGAGTTATAGGGAGAAGTGGTGGGCGGATTCTCTGCGAGTTAGATCTGTAGCAGCATAACTACTGAAAAAAGTCCAAGAAAACCTTAAGCTACTCCTGCTACAAGCTTTACTTAACCTGCGGGGAGCGGGTTCCAGGACTGAAGTCAACTACTATCTTACTGCTGATCAAACTTGTTACGTTTATGGAGAGAGGCCTGATTTTCTGTTATTGTGATGAGATCAGACCTGTTCTTGTTAATCCAGAAAAGATCAGTAGCAGTATGTCCAGGCAGTTAGACATAATGCTAACCCTGTCTGCTAATCTCCTATGAGACTTAAATGTAAAAGCTCTTTAGTGCATTCGGGGAACTGGTTTAAAGTATTCTAGATGTGCTTCATGGCTGAAGCTACAACAGCCTCTTCATCAAGCAGAAATCTGAAGAACTGGTTTTTGTTCTCTGCTCTAAAGACAACATTAGCTTTGTATTTTTGCCTTTATGTCATTATGTCCATTCAACATGGCTGCTCTCCAAAAGCGCCCTCGCAGGGCGTCATGGAGCTCTTTATGAGTCTCCCATTGGTAGCCTTCTTATCTGTCACGGCTGCCTATTTCTTATCTTTAGCAACACCTTCAAACCACAGGAATCCAAGGAGCTGAGGCTTTGCAGCAGAAACCTCAGTAATAACTACAATGTGCCTTCCTGTCAGTGTTGCCCGGCTGCTAATTCCTGGGGTTTGATTACATCACAGGCTTCAACCTTGCACTAATAACAATCTTGGTGACTGCCCACATCTTGCAGAGGGGAAATAACGAGATAGAGCAGATACAAAGAGACTTGGAGTAACATTGGGTTACTCGTAGTCTCTTTTTCCACTTCAGAGGAAAAATCCTCTGAAGTTGGTGAGAGTAATTGTACAAATGGAAAAAAGGGGCATCCAGGAGCCGGAGAATGAACAACAGAGTGATTGAGGCGAACAAATGTCAAGAGCAGCAGAAATCCAGAGAGAAGAACTGCTGGAGTGAGAACTTTAATGACAGAGCATGAGCTCTGGAGGTGACTGACAACTTTTAACATGAGCAGAGATTCTGGTGAGAAAGAAAATAGGGACAAAATAATAAACCTAGTTACAGCACTATTGATAATAACTACCTGTTCAGCAACTCAGAAAAGTTACTTAATTTTACTCTGGCACCTGAACCAAGAAGAAAGAGGCCTTTCCCTGCATTTCACCAAGTAGAAACATGTTAAATTGTTTGCTACTAGCATATTTTATTAATTGCTTTTCAGTAAATACTATTTTTTGAAAAATGTTCTGGGAAATTAGTGTTTAAACCAAGAATGTACAGTGTTTGGGGGGAAAAGCTAACTATTAGGCCTGTCGCGATAAACGATAAGTCAATAATCATACGATAAGTTAAAACTATCGACCTCATTTTAATTATCGGCTATATCGTGGCATATCTTACTGTTGATGACACTGAATGAAAAAAGGCTAAACTCCAGTGCTCTCCACTGACCCTCCCTTCCTTATTTCCTTAGTGTAATGCCCAGCGCGCGCTGCACCATCTTATGTCGCGGATTGTCAAAACCTGAGAGACACATTAGCCGACAGAAAGCCTAGCTTTATCAGTTCGATCGAACCGTGTTGTGTCCAACAATGGACACAAAATAATAAGTCCATTTCACTAACTTTGAAACCAGGCATTAATCAATTCCTTACTACAATCTACCTGCAATGCATGTGGCTACTGTCAGTCTGACTGAATGAAAATCATTATAACCTATTTATGTCACGTTAACAAAGAACAGCTGAAAAGTTACCGGGTTTTCTGGTAGAAATTTTCCTCCAACTCCTCCCCTAGTTATTTA